TAATTAGGAAAATTCAAGCAAGTATATTTTAAATCAGCATACACTTTAACCATTTTCTTGTTTTGTTAAACGATCTATCTAAAATTACTTAAAAATTTATCATAGAATTATAGGCCCTGTTTACTTCTTAACTATGATAAATACATATGAGCTATATATGTGTGTGTGTGTGTGTGTGTGTGTGTGTGTGTGGTGTGTGTGTGTGCAGAAGACAAAATTAATAATTAAGATGTGAATAAATTATAAGCTCATGTTGCAAAGAAGAACTCGTCAAAGCAAAGTCGAATAAGTAACTGAAATGACAATGAACAAGCTTAATCAAACATACGTTGTGAAGAAGGTCAGAAAAATGTACCTTGAATAGTTAGCCGCCGGCACCAGCAGCCAAACCTGAAGCCTCTAACGACATGCTTTGGGTAACTAGTGGGGAATTGTGGTGGACATGGTTACTACGTGCATGGTTGGGGAATTTTAGAAAAATGTATTGTATCATCATATGCCCCTATGATTAACAAACAAGCAAAAATGTACGAACAAAGTCTAAGGTTAATTAACACAGTGTTGTAAAAAGGTTCAAAGAAGAAAAAAAAAGTCAGAAAAACGTTTTAATATTTATAATAATTTATCTTGACATCTTTAAAATGTAATATTCTATAAATATAAATTCAAATTTTAATATTTACAATTCATTATCTTGTCTTTAGACGACTTGTCTTAATGGATAAGTCGATTGAGAAAGTAAACAAAAGGCTGCTAAGAGCTAGTCCATTAATTTGCAAAGTCCAAACCTAACAAATCCATGCACTTGAAAGTAATTCCTAGCTCTCTATCTATAAATATCGAAACCCACCACCCAAAGAGTCACAACAGAAACCTCAAGTACATAAATTAAGCAAATTTAAGCCTATATTTAGTTACCCTTCAATCCCATGGCTTCGCACACTAACCTCCTTCTTCATGCTTTTGTTTGGTTGGCTCTTTCAACCACAGCATTTTCCTTATCTCCCAAATTCTATGACAAAGTTTGTCCCCAAGCTTTGCCAGCCATCAAGAAAATAGTGCAGGCTGCTGTCCACAGGGAGCGGCGCATGGGAGCTTCTTTACTTCGTCTGCACTTCCATGACTGCTTCGTTAATGTAAGCACATTCCATTCAAAACGTTTTATTAAATTTATATTGGTATTTTCTAAGTTCCATTCATTATATTTTGAATACTCTTCATTGCTTTGCAGGGCTGTGATGGTTCACTTCTTCTGGATTCTACATCTAACTTTGAGAGCGAGAAAAATGCACGTGGTAATCTGAATTCTGTGAGAGGATTTGAAGTAGTAGACCAGATTAAGGCTGAAGTGGACAAAGTTTGTGGACGACCTGTGGTCTCTTGTGCAGATATCTTGGCTGTTGCAGCTCGTGATTCTGTAGTTGCGGTGAAGACTCAAACTCTCTTTCGTTGTCAAAATTTTATCAATTGAATTAATAACAAACATTTGTAATGAAAACTATTATGGTTGCAGCTAGGAGGCCCAACATGGGAGGTTCGTTTGGGTAGGAGAGACTCAACCACAGCTAGCAGGACCCTAGCAGACAGTATGCTTCCATCTGCATCCATGGACCTCCCTGCATTGATCAACAACTTCAAGAATCAGGGCTTGAACCAAAGAGATCTTGTAGCTCTCTCTGGCGGCCACACCATTGGATTTTCACAATGCGCTATCTTTAGGAACAGGATTTACAATGCAACAAATATTGATCCTGCCTTTGCAAAAGAACGTAGAGCAACTTGCCCTCGCACTGGAGGTAACACTAACCCTCGCTCCTCTTGACCCAACACCTGCACGCTTTGACACTGCATACTTCAAAAACTTGGTGAAGCAAAAGGGACTACTCACCTCAGATCAGGCACTTTTCAATGGCGGCTCAACTGATAAACTTGTAAAGACTTACAGCATGAATCCTGAAGCCTTTTGGGATGATTTTGCAAAGTCTATGATTAAGATGGGAAACATTAAGCCATTGACTGGGAAGAAAGGACAAATTCGTGTCAACTGCAGGAAGGTGAACTGATGAATATGTTTGTTACATATTCAGCTATTCAGTTGTCATTTATTTTTATTTCTTTTGTTGTATTAATTCCGTTGGTAAAGGTGTCTTTGTTGTAAAATAAGAGGTCCTTGTCTTAAGCTCTTCCATGGGAAAGCTCATAGAAGAAATCAGATTATAGGCCTCACATTCGTTGTACTCATTTTCAAGTGTATAATAATAATAATAAAAAAATGGAACTCTTTCGAATTTATTGTTATCTCATCAAATAATCCTAATTGGTTAATATCCTAGCTATTTATTGGAGGCAAGTGGAAGGTGGTCAAGCATAACGAACTAATAGATTTTTATTTGCCGAAATTAGTTTCCACTTGCGTTTGGAAATTTATATTTAAGAGAAAATCTTCAAATTTTCAATACCTATATAAAACAATTCTATCAATCAATGGTTAAAATAATTTATTTTTAATACACCGTCAAGATATAAGTATATTATAATATCACATTAACGAAACAAATTTAAATTATTACAAACTCTTAAAATAAATAAATACAAATATGATTTTTTTTAAAAAAAAAAATTAATTATTAATGAAGTGATATTATCTATTTTATTGATGATATATAAAATTTATATACTGATAATATATTAAATATAAATTTTAGTTAAAAATAGGTTAATAGAATGAATTTTTTTTATATAAATTACTAATTTTTAAGGCATTACAACTTCATTAAGAGATTAAACCAAAAATTATAAAAGGGTTTCCACCAACAGGAGATCCCAAACCAATTTTTAACAAATAGAAGGTTGGACACAACTAGGAGATCTGTAGTGGTTGTATTTGAGTTAGCGTGGTTTTATAAAATTTTAAGTATTGAGACACTGAGTCGACTGTTTTTAACATTTTCTCACGTGTAAATATTAAAATTTATGTATATTTATTTTATAATGACTTGTTAAGTTCCAAATGTATATATGCACTTATAAAGCTCACGTATATATATTTAACTTAAAATGTACGTAAAATGTACAAATTCAATACAATGTCAAAATATTGTATCATCGTATGTAATCAACCCAAGCAGGAGGAACAAGGCTAAACAAAAGACAAAAAAAATGTCAGAAAAGCGGAACGCCGCAAGCCGCCAGCAGCCAAGCAAGCCTCCAACCAGGTCGTTAAGAAATTTGCACATGCCTTGGGGAGAAATCTTGTTCTGCACTCAAAGTAGGTAGCTAGCTAGTTGCACTAGTAATGTTGATAAGTTCAGCTTTTCATTACATCATAAACAAGACATCCAAGTGCATAAGTTATATCCATCGACTTTATTCTTAATTTTCGGCATAGAAAAATTTTGATGAAATTTTTTAGGTCAAATTTGTAAAATTTTTTATTAAAATTGAATTAATAAAAATTTTAATAAAATAAATTTAAATTAATAAATTAATAAAGTTCAATGAAAAAATTAATAATATGTAAAAAAAATTGAAAATATCATTTATAATTAAAATTTAATTAATGTTTATTTAATGATAAAAATTTTATTAAAAGTTTTACTAAAAATACATATCTAATAAATATATCAAAATTTATTATTATTTTTTCAAAATTTACATACTTGATTAATGCATTAATACTTTTAATTTATCAATTTTTATTTTTATTTTAATTTTTATTTAATCAATCTAAATAAAAAATTTCATGAATTTCACTTAAATAACTTCATTTAAGTATTTTTCTTCCTCTAACCATAATTCATTTCGGCAGAGATTTTCTCTTTTTGAGTGTGATAGATGTTCATATGTAATTAATTTTTAATTTACTAATAAATAGGACTATAAATGACTTTTAGACCGATTCGTTTTAGCCTTATCCACAAGGAAGCAGTCTAATTGGGAAAGAGAAGAATTTTCTTTCTTTATCAGCTTGGATTGAGAGAAGCACTTCTTGAATAAAATGCTGAATGAACCAATCTTATCATCCAGAAAAGATATTAAGCTTAGGTAAAATTTAAGGATATCTTGATTATATTATCAAAAATTAATGATTTTTAATTTTCATTAAATAAACAGGTATTGAAAAATAATTTCCTTTGTAAAATCTTTGTAATTCATTGAGAGTAAGCTAAAATCTAACCTCTCTTTTAATTATATCTTGAGCTTTCTGCTTTTTTTTATAAGCTAAAATCTAATTATAATTAGCTTATTTTATGTGAGATTTGAACTAATTTTTACAAATCTTACCCTTTTTATTGGCACTGTATTGTACTCCTTTCGTATGTGTTTGGAGCAATTGTATAATTTTGGTTAAAGGATAAAAAATGGTTATGAATTATAATTAAAAAATCATTGAAGCCCTTAACATTTTATTTTAAATACTTGAGTCTTAAATTTTTTATTTCAACTCAATTAAATTTTTAATTGAATGAAAATTAATTACGTGATAAAATTAAATCAATTAATATTCGAACAACAATCAATTGAATTTTTAAAGTAATTTTAGATAGAGGAAAGAAAAAATTAAAAAAAAATTATTTTATTTAATTTTTACATATATTAACTGCTTAACATATAAATTTTTATTTATTTTATTGATTTTACATGAAATTTTATCTTAATTAATAAAAAATAATGATACTAACTTTTTCATTCAAATAAAAATTTAATTGGATCTTAATAAATATTGGAAATTTTTGATTAAGTGCAATAAAAAATAAAATTTTAAATAAGTTTTTAATTATAGGTCACGGACTTTTTAGGCTGTTTAGCCTTTAATTTTAGCAGCCTCGTGTCTCAAAAGATGTGGATATTCTTTGTTGCTTGCCTGAACAGCCAATCCCTTTGAGCTAGTAAACAAAAGCTCCTAAGAACCAGTCTAATAATTTGCAAAGTCCAAAACCAGCAAATCCATACACTTCAAAGTAATGCCAATGGCTTTGTAGCTATAAATATCGACACCCACCACCCCAGGAGTCACAACAGAAGCCTCAAAAACCGAAATCAATAGTAGCAAATTTAAGCTTAGTTACTTTCTCATGGCTTCTCGCACTAACTTCCTTCTTCATGCTTTTGTTTGGTTGGCTCTTGCAGCCACAGCTTTTTCATTATCTCCCAAATTCTATGACAAAGTTTGTCCCCAAGCTTTACCGGCCATCAAGAAAATAGTGCAGGCTGCTGTCCACAGGGAGCAGCGCATGGGAGCTTCTTTACTTCGTCTGCACTTCCATGATTGCTTTGTTAATGTACATACATAATGCATTCACTTCAAAACGTTTAATCAGCTTTCTCATCCATTTGTTAAATTTATTTTCTAACTGAACACTCTTCATTGTGTTGCAGGGCTGTGATGGTTCACTTCTTTTGGATTCTACATCAGCATTTGAAAGCGAGAAAAATGCACGCGGCAATCTGAATTCTGTGAGAGGATTTGAAGTGGTAGACCAAATTAAAGCTGAAGTTGACAAAGTTTGTGGACGCCCTGTGGTCTCTTGTGCAGATATATTGGCTGTTGCAGCTCGAGATTCTGTAGTTGCGGTAAAGTCCAAAGCATTTTCATCTTAAGAAATTAATCAGTTCAATTAATATAGAATAAGCATTTCTAATGAAAACAATAATGGTTGCAGCTAGGAGGCCCGTCATGGAAGGTTCTTTTGGGGAGGAGAGACTCAACCACAGCTAGCAGGAGCCTAGCAGACAGTGTGCTTCCATCTGCATCCATGGACCTCCCTGCATTGATCAACAACTTCAAGAATCAGGGCTTGAACCAAAGAGATCTTGTTGCTCTCTCTGGCGGCCACACCATTGGGTTGTCACAATGCGCTATCTTTAGGAACAGGATTTACAATGCAACAAATATTGATCCCGCCTTTGCAAAAGAACGTAGAGCAACTTGCCCTCGCACCGGAGGAAACACTAACCTCGCTCCTTTGGACCCAACGCCCGCACGTTTTGACACTGCATACTTCAAAAACTTGGTGAAACAAAGGGGACTACTCACCTCAGATCAAGCACTTTTCAATGGTGGCTCAACTGATAAACTTGTAAAGACTTACAGCATGAACGCTGAAGCTTTTTGGGATGATTTTGCAAAGTCTATGATTAAGATGGGAAACATTAAGCCATTGACTGGGAAGAAAGGACAAATTCGTGTCAACTGCAGAAAGGTAAACTGAAGAAGCTAGTTGTTGTGCTCTGGTATTGTCCAACTCCAATTCGTCGTCAAAGTTTTTTCTATATTAAGCAATGGTATTTTGTATTCGTTGTTGAATAAGAGGCCTTAACTCTTCTATGGACCTTAAGTTGTTTAACTCATTGTATTTTTAGTTTATAAGTATAAATTTCAAGTGTATAAAAATTAAATGTTTTATATATTATGTCTCCTCAATCAATCCCACATTCATCAAAATTTTGAGGTAAGTTGAAGTTGGTTGGTTTAATAATAAAATAATAAAAATTTATATTTGACACACTATTAATGTATAAGCTTTATAAATTGTCAGTAAATCGAATAACACCATCTCATTAATAAATAATATCAAACTTTAAAATAAATATATAAAAAATTATTTTTTAAAAACTTACTTATTAATGAGCTGAGATAATTTGCTTCACCTCATTAAAGGTGATATTATTTTATTCATTAATAACATATAAAATCTATACACTAATATATATCATATATAAATCCATAAAATAATACATTTAACTCAAACTAATTTTTTGTCCCTTCACCTCCTCAAAAATGTATGAAAAAAAGGTTACAATTTAGGACTCAATTATAGGAAGCATTTAATGATATGATGAAATTTCTATGATGTGATTGTTAGGATATTTTATCTCATTACAAATTAATCAATCACTTAGTAACGTGAGTTCTTAATAATTAAACTTCAATTTTGGTAATAAATGTCAAGAGAAAATTAAACTTTATAAATAAAATTAGTAGGATGAAATATATCTTTTAGTGTATATATTAAAAAATAAAAAATTAATTAATAAAAAAAATGAGATAATATGACAATATTTTAATTTTACTTGTAAGATTAATTTAAAAAATTACATAATTAATTAATGTATAAAAATGAATTTAAATGACATACTAGTTTTTACGTATGTAGGACAAAACCTAAAGAAGAATTCTTATGTAAATTTTATATTGTTCCCACATTAAAACAAAGAAATGAAAACTAAATTGATGAAAATATATAGATATAATTTTATAATTGTAGACACTTTATTTTGTCTGAGATTATTGTTTTTAGACAAAAATGAACCCTCAATTATTAATTAGACCCGATTGGGAAGCTTTGGGTCTAATAAAAAAATTTTAATTTTAATTTGATTTAATTTAATTTATTTTTGTTTAATTTTACTTGTAAAAAACAAAAGGGAAAGTTTGTAAAAACGTTGTAAGAAATTTTGGTGCTTGATTTATATAATTATATTAAAAATTTTGCAAGAAATTTTGACGTGTGATTTATGCAATTACGTTACTGAAATTGATTCATAATAAAAAGTGATTGAATCCTATAAAAACGGCACCGAATCCACCATTACAGGATCCCATCAACCAAACCCAAAAATTCCCACACATCGACCCATTACCAGCTTTAATCACCAAGACCACTCTCCATCACCACTTACCACCTACTTTGGATCCCACTTGATCACACTATCCAAAGAAAATGGAATCGTCAACATTTTCATTCTTTCACGTTTTGTTCATTTCCCTCCTGGTTCTAAATCTTGTTTCTTCCTCGACAGTTCAAGACCCAGAATTAGTTGTAGACCAAGTTCACAAGAGTATCAATGCTTCGAGAAGGAACTTGGGTTACTTGTCCTGTGGAAGTGGGAACCCCATTGAAGACTTTTGGAGGTGTGACCCGAATTCGACGAATAACTGTCAAAGGTTAGCTGAATGTGCAATTGGGTTCGGCAAGAATGCCATGGGAGGAAAAAAAGGTCGAATCTATGTTGTTACGGATGCTGATGAAAATGATGCTGTGAACCCTAGGCCAGGTACTTTGAGGCATGCTGTGATTCCACTGTGGATCATTTTCAAGGGAGATATTGTGATTACATTGAAGCAAGAGCTAGTGATGAACTTTTTCAAAACAATTGATGGTAGAGGTGCAAGTGTTCACATTTCGGGAGGACCATGCATCACCATCCATTATGTATCAAACATCATCATCCATGGCATCCACATACATGATTGTAAGCCTGGGGTAATGCCATTATAAGAGACTCTCCTCATCATGCCGGGCATTGGACTCTATCGGACGGTGATGGTGTCTCCATCTTTGCGAGCAGAAACATCTGGATTGACCACTGTGCAGTGTCTAATTGCCATGATGGACTCATTGATGTTATTCATGGATCCACAGCCGTGACTATCTCCAACAACTACATGACCCATCATGACAATGTCATGCTCTTAGCCCCAGTGATGTTAGGAAAATGGGGTCCAGCCCCATGTAAGTGGTTTTGGACCAAGTAAAGGCCATGGGCCTTGATCTTTTATTTTACACAGAACCTTAGCTACTTAATAAAAAAGATGTGGGATTGTTTTAAGTGTGTGTCGAAAACCAAGTAGAGAAAGAAAAAAACCAGAAAAAACAGAGAGAAAAAGAAGAAGGGAGAGTTGGTTGAACGAAAGTCGATCCGTGATCCGATTGAGTTGAAACCTTGTGAGGAGGCTTATGATTCAGAGTTCTACATTCTGAATGGTGAAGATCGGGTTTGAAGCTCTCTAGGAACAAATCCAGGGTGTATTTATTGAGTCACTTATTTGGTGAGATTTCTTCAATTGTTTCTTTAGTTATTGATTAGCTCTAGTTTTAACTAGAGAAAAACTTTGTATACCTATTAGTTGATAGTAAAGATTTTTCTGGTGGTCCGTGATTTTTTTTCCTCTACACTGGAGGGTTTTTCACGCAAATCTTAGTGTGCTTTATTTTTTTTATATTTTTTATTATTGATTGTTGTCTATTGCTTCTGTATTGTTGTGATTATTGCTTCAGGCACAACAAGTGATATTAGAGCGAGGGTTATTTTGAGACATCGATACAGAAACAACCCAAAATAGAAGAAAATTTTGTTTGAGATCATGAAGGGTGATACAGGTTCCATGATAAAATTGACAGCATTGAATTATTCAATTTGGAGGCCTATGATGGAGGATCATCTATACTGCAAAAATTTGTATGAACCAATATTTGGTGATTCGACTAAACTAGCAGATATGAAAGATGAAAGCTGAAAGAAGTTAGGTAGAAAGACACTGGCTATAACCAAAAAATAGGTTGATATCAACGTGCTCCATCATGTAGTATAGGAGTCAGATGCTCACATTGTTTGAAAAAAATTGACAGCATTGTATGAGAGAAAAATAGGTATGAATAAAGTTATACTTGTTAAAAAGCTTGTAACTTTATAGTACAAGGATGGACGATCTGTTACAGAGTACTTGAGTGATTTTTAAGATATATTTAATCGAATGACTACTATAGAGCTTAAGATGGATGATGAAATGAAAGCGTTATTTCTTTTGGGTTCATTGCCAGATAGCTGGAATACTCTAGTTGTGACTGTTCTTAATTTAGCTCCTGATTATAAAGTGACACTGGATATGGTAAAAGACAGTATGCTTAATGAAGAAGCAAGGCGAAAAGATGTAGACCCTGGGAATCAAGCTCTGGTCACAGAGAACAAGGGTTGAAATATCGACAGAGTTCAAGACTCAAAAGGCCATGGTAAGTCTAAACATAGATCCAAGTCTAGAGGTAAAGTGAAGTGTTTCTATTGTGGTAAGGCAGGTCATATAAAACGAAATTGTAAAATCTTGAAGCAAGAGCGAAAAGATGAGAAAAGTAAAAGTTCAGATGATGACAATGTTACAGCAGTGAATTCAGATAGTGATTCAGTTACTTTAATTTGTACACATGGTGATTGTAATCATGTTAGTGATCCCGACATTAAGTGGATAGTTGACATAGAAGCGGCATATCATTGTGTTCCTAAGAGAGAGTTGTTTACAACTTACAAAGCAGGAGACTTTGGTTGTACCAAGATGGAAAATAAGAGTGTATCATAGATTGTTGGGATTAGTGATATTGTTGTACAAATTAGTACAGGCTGCATGTTGACTTTGAGGGATGTCAAACATATTTTAGATATGAGAATGAACTTGCTTGCTATTAATGTCCTTGATAAGGAGGGATATGAAAGCCAATAAAAGAATGGACAGTGAAAGCTTCTCAGAGGATCTATGGTAGTTGCAAGAGGAAAATTATGATGCATAATGTATAAGACATGGATGCAATTAAATGGTAACCAGGTAAATACCGTTGAAAATGATGCTTCAACAAACTTGTGGCACAGGAGGCTGGCACACATGAGTGAAAAAAGGTTACAAGTTTTGGCAAGACAGTCTCTCATTCCCTTGACCAAAGGTATGTCTCTCGATTCATGTGATTATTATTTATTTGATAAGCATCATAGAGTTTCTTTTCATAAAAGTTCTCAAAGAAAAGAAAATAGATTGGAATTAATTTATTCTGACGTATGTGGTCTCATTGAGGTTGAGTCATTAGGTGGTAGCAGATATTTTGTTACTTTTATTGATGATGCTTCACGTAAGACTTGGGTGTATATATTGAAATACAAAAGTCAGGTATTGTAATATTTTTAAAAATTTCATGCCATGGTTGAAAAGATAACAGGGTTACCCTTGAAGTGTATTCAAACTGATAATGGTAAGAAATACACATCTAAAGGCTTTGAAGAGTATTGCTCAAAACATGGGATTAGGCATGAAAGGACAGAACCTGAAACACCGTAGTATAATGGTAGAGCTGAAAGAATGAATCACACCATTATGGAAAAAGTCAGATGTATGTTGAGGATGACAAAATTACCAAAGCCATTTTGGGGTGAAGCAGTCAACACAGTTTGTTATTTATTTAACAGGTCACCATTAGTTCCTTTGGGCTTTGACATTCCAGAAAGAGTGTGGACAGGGAAAGATACTCCATACTCTTACTTGAAAGTTTTTGGGTGTAAAGCATTCATACATGTACTGAAAGAGCAGAGATCAAAGCTTGACAGTAAAGCTACACAGTGTGTGTTTGTAAGATATGGTGATGAGAAATTTGGCTATAGGGTATAGGATCCAGTAAAAAGAAAGATAGTCAGAAGCAGGGATGTGGTCTTTCATGAAAAAAACCATAACAGACCTTGAGAAAAATGAGAAGACTACACAGGTTACTGTTGAGTGTGATGTTTTAACACCGACAGGGACTCTACAGAAAAGAGCCACAGATGATGAAAATGAGCAAGAAACAGAACTTGAGAATATGAATGAGCCAGCCACAGTTGGTGATGAGCC